ACTCGAGCGCGAGGGCTGTCTTTAAACGCGACCGTGATCAGGTGCCTGAGTTCAGCGAGGTCGTTGATTTCTCCGCCACTGTAGACCACCCTATTGAGCTCCGCTCGAGCCCGGTAATCGAGGGGGTTTAGGTCAGGTGACACACTTAGATATTCCGTCTTCTTCAGGTACTCAACGCCCTTCGATTCCAAGTAGGCGAGAGTTTTTCCAACGCCCTTCGATTCCATGTGCTGGCACCCATCCCTGTAGCAGTACGAATTTTCCAAGCTGTCCGATGTAACCGCCAACATTCGCATTCAGTCCGGGGTCCACGAAGAAAATATCGGTCTTCTCATTCCAGGAACTTCCGGTCCATACCATCAACCCGCGCCTTGGCGACTGCGGTGAAGATGATATCCTGGACCGTAGCGACGTTGTCGGAGCTGCTCGATGTTGGAGGTCAGATCAAGAGTACTGGTCTCCAGGTAGCTATCCATGGGTGACTCCATACTAGAAGTTTCGCAGCTGTTTGGAGGTGACATGAATTCCAAAGGTCTTCTCCAGTCAGGCTGCGACTGGAGATGACTTCATATTTTGGTGTACATGAAGGTGATGGGCGAGAGCCAGCTCCTGCTTATCGAGGAACATCTTGGGTATCTTCCGCCCTGGTACTCGTATCCACCTTCTGTCTGGGCTTTGAACTTTGCTGATATGTGATTAGGCCAAAGTGCCATTTTTCCTTCCCCCTGTATACTCCCATCCCCAGGACAACTCCTTGGAAATGTTCGATGGGGTGATTGGTCGATCGTGGGAGGTAGGTCATACGGGAAAAAAGTTCGGAGGAAGGCTTTATTTAGCGGATATTCTACCTGTTTGTTCGAATGTAGAGAGGTCCCTGGGAGTCAGACCCCTAACTTGCAACTGAGCTGAAACGAGAAGGAAAACGAAGCGAAAAACGCAAGCGGTCTCTCGAGCGAAACGCGTGTCGGAGACGCAAATGACCGATCAGTTCTCGTCGCATAATTACACATCTGTTCGCTGAACAAAGTTTTGAGCGACCATACTCGTGTGCTACTTGTCGTAATGGACTTTAGTTACGAATGCCATTTTCAGTATCCCCGACACGAATGCCTTGTCGCATACGATGAGGAGTTGTCATTTTTTGGCATCATGCCAGATTTGATAAGCGATTGTTGTTATGAAGACTATAAGGATAAGAAACGGGAAAATCAAGAACGGCTTCTCGAGGAGCGAATCGAGAGTATCGACGCGACCAAGCTCAAACAAACCTTCCAGGTGGGTCAACTACTTCTTATCAGGTGGTATGGTGGTGCTGCCCTCTACTGCTCAAAACTTACATTTTCATAGTTTCGCCATTTCATCTTGTCTGTACCTTGTGTTTATAAAGCGACACCCACCGGACACCACGCTTATAGCGCGGAGTTTGTGACAGTCAGTTGCCAATCAGGACACAAGTCGCAACAACAGCGCGTGTGATAATGGCAACGTTATCAGACTTTTGCCGATGGCCATCCTCAGCCGCGCGTTCGAGGGCGATCGATGCAGTTGAAAAGCATGCGCATCGATGGGGCGACCGACACGCTGCTGTCGCGAAGTCCGAACGCTGCCTAAGAGAACGCAGACGGCACAAGAAAATGTCAGCGCCCTTCTCTTTAGGTCGTCCCAATTTTTGCCATAGTATACAGTCCTCATCATTGCGGACCGGTGGGGGTGGCAGTGCGGCTGCATTTGGTGCGGTTCGGCAAAGTCGTTTCTGCACCAGTTTTTGAAGCGAACAAGTGCATTACTGTATAATATCCTTCGTATTACTCGTTTTCTACCACTTTTTGTCGCATACGTGTTGCAACAAAAGCTGAGATACGGGCTTTCACAAACTGTGCCTCACTCCTTCTGGCCTGACACGCCCCACGCCCACCGGTCGCGCAATGATGAGGACTGACAGTCAGCAGCCTGCGAACGATAGATTTTGTGATGGGGCATGGACTGGGAACCAGCGAGGCCTGGTGGGAGCACCGAGTGGCTGTAACCACAGTACCTCATATGAACCACTTCGCAACTTTACAAAGCATTACAGGCTATCCTAACTGACAGGAACTAGCAAAGAGGAAGTGCAAAATGACCCCCCCCCTACGAACGAAAAGCTCCTTTTCCCATCTGTCGTTGAGGGCTCGGGACGGCACTGTTAGGTGAAAAATCTGCCTTGGTTGCTCTCTCGTTATGGTCTTGTTCCCTGCGGATGCTTGGGCGGGTCAGGGGCTCTGTTTGGTGAGGAGTCAGCCCGTTCTTTCTGATACTGGAAAGCTGGCGAGTGACCTCATCATTTCATGAAAAACCATCTGGCGCTGGCCAATCTCAGTCCCGTGACACACCCCAGCATTCACAGCGAACACAACTACAACTTTGGTCTTTGGAACTTTTCCCCTTGAAAACCGAGATAATACCCTGGAGTGTTAGCCAGCTGGCCTCAGAGAGAGAAGAACAAATTTTGCAAAGTAATGAAAAATTACAGATTTGGAAGAAAAAGTCACAAAATTACTGATTTTCTTGCGCAAATCTCTCGATTTTCAGCAGAAGATGTGGGCGGCGTTCGAGAATCCGCACACCTCGTCGGTCGCACTTGTATTCTATTATGTCACGGGTTTTTTCATTGCTGTTTCTGTATTATGTAATATAATAGAGACCATTCCATGCTGGTAAGTCTGATCTGATCGAGAGTGTCATTGGCGCAGTTCGGCTTGGTTGGGGCATTGAATGGAATGGTCTCAACGAACCTTGTAGAGACCACCTTGCACAGACCTGTACTTCCTGTAACCAATATGGATCACCTGTACCACTTCGCTAGAGTTTGCAGCTCTCACTTTGATGTTACTTTAAAGGAACTAGCAGAAGGAACTGGCAAAAATGCGAATCCCCCCCCAAGCCGAACAGTGCCTTGTCACCCAGCGACGTTTCCTGTCTTTGATACATTATGAGAGGTTGTTCGGGCGGCTTAACTGGTTCATTACAGGTATGTAAATGACACTCCTACCTCCTGTGGAGACGCCTATGAGAGACAAGTGAGTTTGAGTTCACCTTGGACACTTCTCTGATCGTCTGATTCCTACTCGATAACAGCACTATTTTCAGTTTTTTGTATTAGATACTGCTTGTGTTATAATATTTACCATAGAGTATTTGTTACGATTATACGCTGCTCCAGATCGATGTCGATTTTTGAGGTATGTTCACATAACAAGATTGTGATGGCGAGTATCGTCCAACGTTCTTAATAGACTGGTCAAACTATTTACTAATCACGTTACTTTACTTACTTTACTAGTCGCCTACCGGATCATTTGACACATTTGAGAGCTTATAGCTTTAGTTCACTGCGGAGCGCGCCTTTAGCTTATGAGCTGGGTGTAGAAAAATTAGCGATTGAAGTGTCTAAACTTGAACTCCTCAGCTTACTGTATTCGAAACAAGTAGTGCATAGTTTAACGTAGTAGAGGGCGTATCCACGGACTTACAGTTCACATCTGAGGGCAAAACGTTGAAAGTACATTTTGCGAGCGCGGCGACGGCTGCGAGGGTCCAACTGGAGGACAGACGGAGGAAGTATGTATTAGAAAGGGGGGTACGGGAGTATAGTCATGGTCCCTGCAAACGATAGGGCGTGTGACGGCGGCAGAAGTGGAGCGCAGCTAGATCAACTGTATCGAGCTCAGGATGGCATCATTGGTGGGAAAGAGGAGCTCTAACTGCACTAATCAGCGCCGCGTCAACACCCCTATCATTTGCACTGATCACGAGCCGCCCGTCGTGCTAGCCACTGTGTACTTGGAAAGGACCCGTTTGGCCCTCGATGGCCCCCCTGCAGCTATCAAGCTAATGCCTATCTGCGGGATGACGCCTGTCCAGGGCTGTACGGCACAGGAAAGAGCGTTTGAACAAGGAGGCAATGGGCACACAAGAGAAGGTGCATCCCGGTCTCCCTAAGGTGACGAGTGAGCTCAGTCTGGCAAGTTGTAAGTTCTGCCAAAGAGGTTTGTAGGTGGAAGACTTTATTAAACCTGGCCTGACGTTTCGACGGGATCGTCGTCCTCAGAGGCCTAAACATAGCTCAAGGTTTAGATGTTGTACCCTCTACACCGCCAAACGCCTCGACACCCTAGCGTTTTTTAAAAGTCTTCCACCTACAAACCTCTCTTGGCAGAACACATTACAACTTGAAAGTTCACAATAATGCCGAGGTTTTATGAAGAGAGAAGCTGGACACTATCAGTCGACAAGAATCCATGGACTAGCCTCTCCAGCCCAGAACCCAGAAAGAAGAAAAAGAACAAAGAAAGAAAGAAAGCAACAAAGTCCATGAATATGCTTCCACGCGAACATAAGGCAACGTGCCATGATACATGTTGCCTTATTTTTCGAATCATGCAGTACCTATTGTCAGAATTATTGGGGACGTGTGATAAACGGGGTAGAGCATCGCTGGACCATGAGGTGCTCGTACACTCTTCATCGCTGAGATGGAGTAGGCGTAACATTTGACACTGCAAAGCATGGGTTGCTCGTTAGATTTTTTCAATTTGAGACAAGTGTCATCTTGTTGAGTGTTGGACAGAGACATGACCATGAATTGTGTCAAAATGAAAATATAGCAAATAGTACCGTCACCGCCCCACTTAGTTAAAGTACGCAGCCACGCCTACCACATTTCAGGAATTTCGAGTGTATTAATTGCCATTAAGGCTCTAGAGATGCTGTGAAAGGATTTTCGGTTTGTTATTAGTAGAGAAGAGCTGATGTGAACTAGAATGCTTAAAGCTGGTTTCAAATATTATGTGCAATCGTCATTTCGTAAACTCCATTTTCACTGGATGTCGAAAAACGCTTTAGTCTAAAAAATACCTATTTGGCAAAGAATCGTAACTCGCCGCGTCCAGGACGTCGCGACCGCTAATGACGACACTTTTAGGTGTGTTGGTCGAAAATAGGCAATGTACGGCAATCTACAATTCTCTTGCCCGTCTTCCTCAGTCCAATACCAGCTCTGCCTAGATACTATATTTGCTACCGTGCTTGGCGCAGTTCAACACATCTGAGACAAGGTTTTGTGCACGGACCACCGCTGCTAAATAGTTGACTCGACAAAGCATTGTGTCGTTACCAACCAGGTCGTAGCAGCGTACCTCCTGAACCACTTATTCTACGGCTTTCTGTCGAAAACTATATACTTGATAAAGTTTACATTTACACTTTGAGAAAGTTTTCTATGGTCCTAAAACAATGCTGAACGCGTGCACATCCTTGCGTCGCGCGTTCGACCTTCACTCCGTGACATAGAAGTTGTTGAATGGTTAACTGGCTTGAGAGCTAATCTTTACAGTCACCCTTAAGGGTGGACCTACCTACTTCCTGTCCCATGAGACCGGAGTGGCAGCTGCACTGGTGCAGCACTTTCGGCATCTGACCATGAGAGTGAGGCTGAGGGGTAGTGATACCGTTTGGGACTCCGCTGCGCTGTCCTAACGGTCCACCATTTGGCCATCGAAATCCCATCTCGAAACGCGCACCCAGCGGCAAAGAGCAAGCAGAAGGGAGAAGGTGTAGACAAGTCCCTCCAGTCCCGTTACCGTGCAATGCGAGGAAAGTTGCAGTTGCACGCCACTGCAGTTGTGGACTCATTTACCTCCTCAGGATCATGCGTTCCGCGGCATTGCCTTTGCCCTCATCACTGCTTTCTCTGCAGCTAGTCAAAATATGAAATTTTATTGATTGCTTTTCAGATCGATAATGAGTGTGATCGATGTGGTGGCTATATTACCATATTATATTGGTCTCGGTCTGCAGAACAATAAGGACGTGTCGGGAGCGTTCGTTACGTTACGAGTATTTGTGAGTTCAATCCTGAATCATGTTTCGTCCTTTATCCATCATACACAGTCTTGCTGGATGCGGAGGCAGGGGCGTGTCAGGCGGTTGAGTTCTTCGGTGCACCAGCCATTTTATTCCCCAATCGTGGTCACCTGGAAGCCTTTGCAGTTGGTGGAGAACAGGCTGGCACGGCGCGAAATCCAGCATCCCTCCCCGACCCCCTGGCCACTTTCTTGTGCTCCTTTGCAGCGTATGAATACATGGTCTTTGTGTGGTAGCGTTATGTGCAGTCCTGTTTTCTGCTGGTGCTGAGGCGTATCAGAGGGGCTAGGTAAGGCGCCCCTCCCAGCCTGTTCCCCACCGGCTGTGGAAGCTGGAAAGTAACGACAATTGAACCTGCTGGCGCAGCCCAGCTAGGCAAAATTTCTTGCGTGAAAATTGGAAGATGAGGGAAATTAAACTGGTGGAAA